CATTGCTAGATAAATATTAATTAGAAATTTACTTCAGCACTGGAAGATTGGAACATGCTCAAATATAAATTACATTTAAAATAGCCTGATTTTAGATTTTATAATTCACCAAAAAGATGTAAAGGTGTGTATGATATTATGATCTTGGGAACTGTGATACATAGGTGTGTTGCTGAAGTTTAAATGAGAAAACTCAGGATAAGAAATTAAGCCACAAAATTTTTTACAGCTGACTTTAAATTCTTGATAACTTTATAAGTTATCAAAGCTCACATCTGAAATACAATTATATACTCACACTAAACATAAATGGGTTATGCTCTGTAACCAACAGTTTTATTTTGTTACTGGGAACATATGCAATTGTATGAATTGATTCAGATTAAATTTATTCCTAACAAATCCTTCAGTAGCATTCATTCTTAAATATAGAATTTAAATATAATTGACTGAAAATCACAACATATTTTTAAATCATGTTTGACTGATATATGTTAATTAAAAATAAGGAAAAGAAAACTCAGTTATAGTTATATCTATACTTCTATCTAGTTACCTAAATATTTAGATACTTCATATCACTGACAGTAATTGAATATAGGAAATATAATTTATATAAAAAGAAACAACAACCTAAAAAAGTTAGAATTGGAAAAATTAATCTCTTCAGTATTCAGGTTTCCTTAAACTATTAAAGACTGCCTCTCATTATCAAAAGTTGATGGGCTAATCTTACATGGGATGGACTTGTGGTCTCAGTCATTTTCTTACTTGCTAAAGTTACACTGAATCTGGTTGGTGCTATAAACAGGGAAGCCTCAACTTGGAGACTTTGACTAACTCTCACATGACCTGATCAACACTGAATCACAAGATATGAGACTTAGCATTTTATTTTGTTTTTTTATTATTCTGCATGGATATACTTGTTGAGTAGATAAATAAAAAGTTCAACTTTTCCATGTGCTTAAATTGAAGATTTCAGAATCAAAAGATGATTGTTACAGTTAATAGAATTGGGGAAGAAAAGACCATGCTAAATGAGAATCAGCAAAAAAGAGACCTGATGCCAAATATGCAATGACTATTGGAGAAAAGGTATTACAAAGAATTTGTAACATCTTTGCTCTGTGAAAATATTTATATATTACCCTTACTTTTCATAGACACATTCCATTTTATCTCTGAGGAGATTTCCAATATAAGGCAAATTCCATCTTATACTATTATTTGAATACTTGAGATATTTCTGAAAGGTTTTCCTGAGACTCAAAAAGTTCATGCCCACTAAAATACATATACATTTACTTTAATGTGTGACTGTCTTTTAAACCAATATATATTTTATTTATAAAGCATTTTATTACAACTTACCAAGATTGCTTTTATTAACACTAAAATATTAATATAAATTTTATCCTGAATATATATTTATCTATTCACATATACATATATGTGCATATATGTATATGTGCATATATTTTTGTGCTTTGTTAGTAGTAATGAAAATCTCTGCAAAGTCAACAAGTTTAATTAGTAAATCATTATTCATACTAACTAAATTTTGAAGTGGTCATAATGTATTGAATAATGGCAAATAAAAAATGTTTTGCAAATTCTGATTCATAATGTTTAGTTTAACATCATCATCTATCTGAAATGTATGTTTGAGAATTTTGACTTATCTAATAACCCCTTTCTTACAATAATTATACAATTTGACTGCGAAAAGAAACCTTTACAAAATATGAGAAGAAAGCCTCTGAAAAATCTACTATTTATTTAAGTACTATTTACTAAGTCTTCTATTGAAGGTAAAGTTAAAGGAACTGATTTATTCTTTGGATTCACATGATCACCATCATATTCAGACTTGCATGTGTCTTTGATTTCTACTAAAACTCAAGTACACAATGTCCTGGAAAAGCTCATGGCATTGAGTGATGGAACATTTGTCATTTGTTTAAAACCCCAAACCTAATTTATTTGCTTATGATTTCCATAGGTTTTTCTGAAGTCCTCATTGTACCACAACTCCAAAAGGAAAATTTTATGATATTCTGGTATTTCATGGGAAAACTGAAATTTCACTAGTTTTGTAGGGGAAATAAACAGTTATGCACTGATTTTAAAAATAAGAATTATAACATTTAGCTATGTTATATAAATTTAAGGAAGGGAAAACTATCTCTGAGTGAGTGTTTTTTTGAGGATAATTTATATGTGACTGCTGAGATTTACAGAGTTCTCACATTTGCTTCCCCCACAAGGATTCTAAATCAGATTGGTTCAGAGGAAAAGTGAGCATACCCCATTTTTCTAATATTATCACTTCTCCACATGGTCCTGAAAACATCTATTCTATTATTTTTTCCTAGAAAATAAAGAGGTACCTTATTAGATATGTATATACATCTACTACAAAGTCTGACTTCTTGTGTTTTACTTCTTTTTCTCTCTCACTTAACATATCAAATCTCTTTTATCTCCTATCAGACAAGATGACAAGTAGAAAGTAAGCACTGTGATTGCCTGAAACTTTGTCTTGGCAACCTGAGCAATGAGAGAGTTAACTTAATGGTGGATCTTTGAAAACAAGTGACCATGGGAAATTAGAGTTGGCAGGGATTTAACTCTTCAAGAATCATGCTAGAATATTTTTAAGGGCAAAGTAGTGAATGTTTTAACCATGTTTGACATCTAATTAAGGAGGAAAAAGAAGAAGCTAAAAAAAAAAAATCTCTATTATACTTTAGAAACAAAGTACTGACAACTGGTTACCAGGCAGATGCTTTGCCAAAACAAATCTACATATAGAGAAGAAAGGTAATGATATATCAATAAAATCATAGAATAAAATTGCTTGGGCAATCCCTTTTATTCTTTTTGCTGCTCATTTTACAGCTTGTTTTATCAAATTGTCAAGCTCTAGGTACATCAATAGAACTGTTATGTAGTTGTAAGGCAGCTTTTGGTTTAAAGGAAAGCAGAATAAGTCTAATGGATACCATTACTAAGAAGAGCTCATAAACACAGTGTCAAATGTACACATCTTGTCAATATATACAGCTCACTTCATTTAGACAAGTTTAAAGCATTTGTATATAACAAAAGACTATTCTAATGAAATACCATCTTCTAATATGTGGAAAAACTGGTGCCTCTTCTATTGAAGGAGAGTAATCCATTAACATGGAAATAAAATTATTGTGACATAGATAAACATAATTCTCAATTTTATAATTTATTTAGCACTTAGATAAGGATCTTAAAATACAGTAGATTTTAAAAAGGCATGTCACGTCTAAAACTTATTCCAAAATTATAGCATATAGTTATTTACATTTTCAGGAACTAAACTTGTATGTAAAACTCACTCATAAGAAATATAAACTTGGAGAAGGACCATCAACCTAAGAATTACTGGATGAACTACTCTCAGAGAATAAAAATAGAAAGCAAAAACTGACAAAAACAGAGATAACATAATATCATATACTAGGTAAATAATTTAAAGACAGCTACTATATAAAGATATACCTGGGATTTAATTAAATACTTAATGCTTAGTATTTGATTATTTTTAAAATCTTATATAAGTACAATTGCAATTCTGCTTGCTAATGTTTAAAATTCATTCTCATTTTAACAGCCAAATAAATAAACCAAAATATAGTCTCCAATTCAATATATTTTATCTATGTAATAAATCTAAATAAACACATTAATAGGTGTTTAATTTTCTAATCCAAAAGTGTGAAAATTACATCTGTCTTTCTTATTTGTGGTCCTCATTCACCCTAGAGTATTCAGAAAGAGATGTTCCCCATCATGTGAAAATTAAAGAATATGTTTTCTGGCATCAGAGTAATGTACAGTAGACAGACATGTCTACAGAGAGATTCAATAATTTTCTTTCATATTACAGACTAAAAACAGAGTATAATTGAAGCTTCTCACTGCCCCACCCCCAACTGTAGAAATTTGAGAATCATAAGAAAGCAACACCTTAGGGAGTAAAACTACTTGTGTTAAAACAGTTTAATCTTCAGTTCCATTTTAATAATATCTCACTATATAAATATTTTCTTTCATGAGATTTATATACATCATATTAGAATTTACATTAGCATGATTTTACACATCTGCCTATAAAATCCATCTAAACAACTGTAGAACAAATATTTTCTTTAAAATCCTCATTAAAAAACAAGCATATACATTAAACTGTAAGCAGACCAACCATGTGATAAGGCTTTTTTTTTCCCCCTCTTAAATTTACTCTTTGTTTTGAAAAGAAGTTCACACAACTAACTGTACAACTAGAAAGTAGTATCTCTTCAGTTCTCATTGAAGTACATAAGAGTCAAATAACATTATATTTCAAAGGTTTTAGCTTTACACCAATTAGCCAAATACACAGTCTTTTGTACAATCATAACACTGTAGAAAAACTAGTCTGTTCTTTCCAGTTTATATTCTCTTGGCAAACCATGATCTACTGCTTATGTTAAGCATCTGATTGTCAGATTTGAACAAACTGAATATTCATGACGACAATTAACCATTTACTGTCTAAAACTAAGAAAATGTAATTTATCATAACAATTATTATATGTGAGGCATTCATATCTACAAAGAGACCATTGTTGCAATAGTGGTTTTAAAAAATCTTTTAACAGGAGTAGAGTGAGAAAAATTTGCAGGATATACGATCACATATACCGATCTGTATTTACCAGGCATTCAGCTCTTTTCTGCAAATGTGATTAAATGCTCTTTGTTTGCATTTAAATTGTCATATATCCAACAGAAGGCATAATTTTATAAAGAAAAAAAAGTGTTTCAATCATCTCCAAAAGACCCACACAATCACAAAGGTTTCTCAGGTTAAACTCAAGGTTTTAAGGTTTAGGTTGGGAGGGAGTTCAAGGAATAAAAAGGCAGGGGGCAGCGGGGCATTAGAAAGCTGGCCAAATAAAAGGAAAAGAAAAACTTACCTTTGTAGGATAATTTCAGTCTTGGCACATTGTTTTTCCCATTTTGATAGTTTGCTCTTGCTGTAAGTAATACTCCCCAGAAAAGACAGACAATCCTAGCGAACCAGCCCATGCTGCAGACGCTGGGGGTTCTATGCTGCTTCAGTCTCCCGTCCTGTATTGTGCGGCCAGAGAAGTTCAAACAATCTGGAAACTGGAGGTAACAGGTGATTTAGGTCAGTTTCATTCATAAATGCAGACAATCAAGACCTCCAGGCAACACTAACACCTCTTCTTCTGTAACAGTCACTGAAGCACAGAAACTTCAAACCCTCAAAAAAAAAAAAAAAAAAAAAAATCGAGCCAGGCACCGGATAATGAGGCACAACTGTTGTGTGGAAAAAAAAAAGAAAAAAAACAAGGGCTGCTGCAGTGGTGCCTAAGAAGCAGTTCCTTTTATCTAGGTTCTTCTGATAGCTGGCGGACTCTAATCCTGCTCCCTGCTTCATTCGGCTCCGGCTCCGGGGAAGCAGAATGAAAGGGAAACAGAGAGAGAGAGAGAGAAAGAGAGAGAGAGAGAGGAGGGAACCGTGAGCAGCGCGGACTTTTCCTGGACACATGTAGGGAGCGATGACACAAGATCCCACAGACAGGTTTTCCCAACACTCACTAGACTGGCTGACAATGGGAGATCAGGCAAGCTCAACCCACTCCCCTTCCCTCGTGTCACACAACACATGCAAAAAACATCTCGTAGAGATTAGAGCCGGGAGCAGAACCCTCCAGCGTGCCTGTGAAAGGCATGTAGCTATAAATTTACTTCCCAAGGCAAGCGTTGTTTTATAGCCATTTTTAGGTGCAATTTGGAGAAAACAATCTGAATTCTGCTACCTACATCATTTACAACTGACGCTCATTATAGAATTCTGCTTGAACTTGTGTGGTGTGTGTGTATATGTATGTTTATGCCTGCATACATATGTAGATATGCATATATATGTCTGTCCTTTTCATCAGTATAACTTTAACCACTGAAGGTTTTAAAGCCTTGTTAGCGATTGTTCCCTTCTCCCAACAACCCCCCTTGGCTCAACCACCCCCTCCCCCGCCCCACTGTGATTTCAGGGAAGAAATTCCTAGTAAAGCCCATTTCAACAATCAGTTCGAGACAAATATAGGTCCACTGAGGATTATAAATTATAACAAGGGATTCTCAAAAGGATACTCAGAATTTAAAAACATCTACGGTTTTTCAGCTTCTGGAATGCTCTGGCTAAAGTCTTTAATGCATCACATCTCATTAATTAAAGCCACTTCCCTAGTTTTGGTTTAAAGAGCAGAGGAAGATGACGAAGTTCACAAAAGTCCCCGCTGAGTGTCAAGGACCAACATAAAGAGAGTATCTCTGTGTCTTCATGAGCTGGTGAAGGGTTACTAAATTTTCTGTGGACACGCATGTATTTATGCAGTCATGCAAATACCACTAATTCTTTCCTAAATAGGCATGTCTGAGGTGTTTAAATTTTCTTTTCTGTTTTTCTTTCAGTTTTTCTCAGAGCTGATATCCATACAGGATCGTGTGTGTGTGTGTGTGTGTGTGTGTGTGTGTGTGTGTGTGTGTGGAAGGGTGCATAAAAATCAAAGAACTTTCCCTTTATATTCCCCAACTCTCTCTACTTTGCACCCTCCCTCCACCCCAGGTACAACACACAGGTTAGAAATACCTAGGAGAGGGCTGTTACAATGATACAGAAATTACTTGACTGAAAGGAGAAGGTGAGTTTGCAATTAAAAACATGAACACTCATTGAAAGTGGTTCAGTATTCATATAAAAAAAAATGACCTGAGCATTGTCACTGCAGCTTTCATTACTTAATGTCTACAGGCCAATAGAGAAAGAGCAGCTCTTTCTCTGTGCGCAAGTGTGTGTGTGTGTGTCTGTGTGTCTGTGTTTGCCTGCGAGTAGGCGGAGGAGGAGGAGGAAGAGAATGAAAAGGATTTAAATGGGGAAGAATGGGTGAGGGGGAGGAGGAATCCTGTGTCTACTCCATTAGATTGATTCATCAAATAGACCGTATTGTATTTGTCACTTCCCACAAGCCTATTGATCAGTCAGTATTGTTAAGAAAATAAAATCCAAAAATAATGTTGATTTTACTGATTCCCACACTTGTTATCCTGAGCACTTTTCATGCTCCGGGCAATGGATTAAGGCTACAAATGACAAGAGGCTTGTCTGTCTTCCATGGATTACTCTCTATAGACATTTATTCTGTGGAGGAATTCATGTCACTTTGGGATTATTTAGGAGATTGGACTAATGGATTATCCTATCGAAATATCACATATGATTATTTTAAATACTTTAAATAGTCGTGCCATTTTCACTAATATATATTTTAAATATTTATTTTTCTCCTGCTCTTGTTACTTCAAGTAGGAGAGCAAGTTTATATTTGTCAAAACTAAACAGGATAAGCAAATTTAGAAATGTATCCATTTCACTTGTGTAATGTCTAATCCTGAAACATTTTGATGTGTTCCAGGAAAAATAAAAGATTGTAGGTAAAATTCAGATAAAACAGGGTGAGAATTGACTCCATGGAAAAGAAAGACACTCAATCTATATTTTGGACCACAAAATCAGGACAGAATTATTTCATTTTCTAAAAGAAATAATTTAAAATTGAAATCAGAATTGGGTAACATAGACACCCCCATGTTTATATCCAAACACAGATTTCTTTTTTTAAAAACTCTGATGTATTTATTTACACTTGATATTTTTCTTACTCTCTGAAATTTTTATGATCTTTAGGTCTTTTCAAATATTTGAAAGTTTAATGAATTCACATTTACTTCTCTGTAGATTTTTTAATTAAAAAAATGTAAAATAGGAAGTTCTTTATGTAAGTAAAACTGTTCTAGACTGATTACATTAATAATAGACAAGTGTGACCACAGATAGACTTTTTTTTTAATGTAGAAAGAAAGAGAGAAAGAAAAGGGCAGAGAGGAAGGAAGGAATGTAATACAGGCCTAAAAAATATTTACCGAAGTATTTGTTATATTTCTACTGATTTCTGAATTGACGTTGGGGATAAATAAAGTTGTTTTCCATGTTTTCCTTATACACCCAAACGTGTGAGGGATAATCAAGGCTAAAACTATTTCCCAGTTGTACACAGGGTGTGTAATTGCTCAGTCATGTCTGACTCTCTGTCACCCATGGACTGTAGCCCACCAAATTACTCTGTCCATGGGATTCTCCAGACAAGAATACTGGAGAAGGTTGCTATTTTCGTCTCCAGGGGATCTTCCTGATCTAGGGATCGAACCTTCATCTCCTGCGTTGGCAGATGTATTCTTTACCACTGTGCCACCTATTTCTCAGATGAAGTAGATGAAAAGTTGAGATGGACTTGGGTGGGTGTTTATCAGAATCTATCAACATCTGCATGCTTGAAATGTGGACTTTAATTCGCCTCCTAAGAAACATCACTCCCTACTCAGAATATGTGAACTCAGCCCCGACACAGTCAAACCTGCTGTATTTGCCACATTAACCATTGATCTTACTGCATTACTTACATTTTTAAAAGTCAGAAATAACATATTGACCTTTTAACACTGTATTTTTTAAGGCACAGTGAAAAATCTTTTGTTTCTCTTAAAGCAATATCTCTATTTTCAATTATTTTCTAACCCACAATCTACATCATGTGCTATAATTAACTCTACTTGCAACTGAGCTCCTAATATCTTCTTAAATTTCAAGTTTTCAGATGTGACTAAGTTCTGCTACAGAGTCAAATCTGAGCAGGTGTTTAATATGGTGATCATGCTGTTGTATACATTTCTGTCAAATAAATCTGTAGTTTTTAATCTCGCCTCACTCCATATTGAGATGGATTACAAGACTTCCAAGTATAAAACTCTGACAGGCAGTTTTCTGGGTGGTATGCTTGATTTTCTAGAGAAGCAACTCTTCCAACTTCACTGCAGGTTGGTTAACTCTTCTTTCTCAATTAAGATTGGTATAGTCATAGAAGATACATGTTAAAGCAATTTTCCATAGGAAATGTATTTTTGATCTTTTCGTCTATTAGCTAAAAGTAATGTGTATATTTTAAATGTCTACTTCATATAGTTTATTATTTATTATGAAACACACTGAGATGGCAATAAACATTGTGATTTAATAGTAGAAATTGTTCTAACTTGTGAGATGGTATTTCAAGTGCTTCTCCAGTGTATAGACACCCTGAAATTTTCTGTGAGTGGTAGGCAAAAATACTTGCTATATTTGTACATAAAAGTATATAAGGAGAAACATTGATCAGATATAATTAAAAGATTGAGTGGAGTAACTGTACTTGAAGTTACAGTGTACATCACTAAACACACCTGTCTCCCTGCAATCCCACTCCACCCTGGTTAGATATAGAAACACCCTCAAAATGTGTGCCACCCACAGAACTAGAGGCCTCTTTAAGAAACTACTGAGTTAAGAATTTAAAAATGAGTTGGATAACCAGCTCTCCTATGAAACAACACCAAGAAGGAAAACAAATAGTAAAAAACAAATAAAAATTTCCATATTCTTCCCAAGGTGTTATTCAATTGAGTCAAGGAAAAAAAAAAAAACTGTATTACTTTCTATTCAACATCTGCTATTTCCTTTTTTTTTTCCCTTCAAAGGAATGCTTCATTAGTATATGAGAAAGGCCTATGATCAACAGAATTATAGCAAATGTCAGAGTAGAACATTTGCCCTTGCTCTGACATCTCATGCTGGAAATTCATTTTTAATGAGGGATTTTCTGGTAAGGGAATTTGAATCTTTTTTTTTTTCTAAAAAAGAAAATGTGTGGGTGAAAACATTCTTTAGAAGATCAGAAGACATCTTATTAATTGGGAAAACTAAATAGTTGATGTATTATTCATTCTAGCCCCCCCAAAATGATAGTTATTTAATAACTACTGTGGTAGTCGCTGAGAAGTGGGGGTGGCAGGTTAAAAGAAATATTTAAGAAATTAAATTAAACTTTTTATAATCTGACCCTTATGAATGCTTTTAGTATAAGCCACACGTGAAAGCATGAGTTGAGAGGAGAGACTGGTAAGAAGCA